TGCAAATTAAGATCCGCTTTCCCTCTGTGGTAGGTTCGTCCGTTATCTCTTGCGGGTTAGTGGAAATGGGAAACAATAATTACCAAATCTAAGGGTAAGTCTGCGACGCCAGTATAATCAACCCTTAGAACAATGACGCTTTTGGCCGGGTGTTGAAACAGTTCTATAGCCCGCGTGGCTCCAGTGTTCCCGAAAATCTGCCTTCGGAATGCGTTCGAAGAACGAAACAAACGCTGCTAGGGAATCGGATCAAGTTGGGTTCATTGGACCCCGCAAGTATCAACGCATAATATCCTGACAGGTGCGTACGACGATGTTACTTCGGATCTAGGCATATCGACCGAGATTCTTGGAGTCTGGCATTAGTCAGCAAACTTGTCAGCTTGAAATACCTTGCAATGAAAGATTTGTTAATGTTATCAAAATGTGAGTTGAAACGGAACCTGTCAACTCACGCTTCATAAACAGGCAACAGTGAACAGTTCATAGCCAATACAAGAAAGGTTATTATGGACGCAATAATGTTCATCGATCATTTGAAACTAAAAAAAAATTGCGCATTTTTTAGTTGATAACGTAGCTCCTTAATGACAAATCTAAGCCGCTTCAGCTTTGATGCCTAGCGAAGTGGAATCATTCTTCCATACATCGCTTTCGGACGGAAATGGCCTGGATCAAACAAAACGTGTTCTCTTATTTGACCTTCATATAAAGGTCGGGTGAAACGCATCGATCCTGGCGTACCTATCATGGCTGTTGTAAAAATATATTGTACATACACGACAAATGGTCGAATTAGCGTGCATGTTTTTGTTAGCCGGGACATCTCACTCGCTGTTTTGTTTTGTTGTGATTTGATTTCCACTTACGATTGATTGTTTTGCGGACGATTTTTTCACACCCCAGCTTAGCTCAAAACGAAATTCACCTCACTGTGTTCTCTGCACAGCTAACAGTATTTGAAGTTCGAAGCAGTGTCTGTGCAAGTTACCGCTGTGGAAGCATTCGACAGCATTCTCAAGCAAACATTCATTGATACGTCGCCGTACATTCAACCAAATAATGTTCGTAGAAGTCATGAACATTCAACATCTTAATTTAGCCTTTATTATAACTTTGCGGGGGACGGAATTACTGACCATTACTTTGGCAAATAAGTGACCGTGGAAAGCAGGAACAATCGCACAACCTTGAAGCTGAATCCCTCTATCGAGCCCGCAAACTCCGGTGTAATTCTGTACTGTCAATCTGCGCATCCAACTTCCACTAAAGGGAATGTTCCACAGTGGAAGGTATTGAGGCAAGCATCAGACATGATGAAATATGCTCGCTTCTAACCATAGGTTGCCAATTGAAAGTTTCCCCTGCGGTTATCTTCAGGGAAGACAGATCATTTATATTTCTGAAAGGCACGTATAGCCAGAGCTTTGCTAGTGAAGAGCTCCCAGAATTGTGATGATCATAGACACGATGATGACACATGATGTTGATCACAAGCAAAGTTTACATCTCGCAAGCTCACACTGCACGATCCCGCACGGAACCGGCCCGGTCACAATTAGGTTCGTGTCTCGCCACCTCAAAGGTAGATTTGGGGTCATGAGAACGTGCAAGCACATGCATATTGAAATCTGTTGTCACTTTGTGGTGGGCTCGTCCGTCACCTCTTACGGGTTAGTGGGAATGAGAAACATTTATTACTTAATCTAAGGGTAAGTCTGCGATGCCAGTATAGCCGACCCTTAGAACAACGTCGCCGTTAGGCGAGTGTTGAAACAGTTCCATATCGCGAGTGGCTCAACTTTTCCCGAAAAACTGCCCTCGAAATGCCTTCGAAGAACAAAATAAACGTTGCTAGGGAGTTTGATCAAATTCGGTTAATTAGACGCCGTAGGTATCAACGCCTATAATCTTGAGACGTGCGTACGACGGCCGCGTATGTATGTGTTTTTACCGGTACAGAATCACCAAATTTGACCGGGTTACCATGGTTCGTTGGGACTGGGTCGACTGTGAATTTAACGAATTGTGTGTTTATTATGCAGCATTATGCATATTGCATGTAAAGTCATGCTTTTAATTTACACTGCAACAGCGTACAACTGTTGAAACCTGCAATATTGAAATTTGTGTTCGAAGCGATGGACCCTAGTTCTGCACACGTGTTTCTGTAAGTTTTAATTTCATTCATCGCAGGCCCACCCGACGCCATATTCAAAAGATGAGTCTCCAAGCTTCATTTTCTTAATAAAATCGACACCGTGATGCAGCTTGGACCAAAGATACGCAAGCATGGGGCAGGTACTACCTCCTCCAATGACGTTGTGCCATTATCAAAGATCTCCCAATGTGCGTGCTAACTTATTTTGTCGATCCGTGTTCTTCAGCTTTCGCAATTCGCACTCTGTGGCTGCACTGCTCATCAAATGGCGGATGTCACACATTCGTGATGTTACAATGTTCCAACGCAACAAGGAATAGTCGTGCAGCAGCTGGCATGGAATGTCCATGCCAATGGCTGTCGAATATTTCTCCAGATTTCTTGCCTACTGTCACTGCCTATTGCTGAAAACAGCAGGTCAAAAACGACCACTGGTTTTCACAAACCCGTCAGAGCCATGCTGGTCGGACTGGCCCAGAGTGCACTGGGCTGGCGATTGCGATTAGGTCATGCAAGACCAGGAAAGTCAAGTTTCCGATATGATTTTCGGACCACATGTCAAAACGAACTCTTGCAGAAGCACGAATTTTGTTTTACACATGAATCCACCAGTTTGGCATGCTTTTGTGTAAATCGAAGCTTTGAGCTACCAAGATCAGTAAACTAAGTCAGGTCAAAGAGGTCAACTTCAAATTTGTGTTCACTTTACGTAACTTTTTGTGAATATTTTCCATTCTACAAGCACCCTACAGTAGCATACAATTATGATATCCACAGTTTTTACTCTCAGGTTTTTTAAACGAGAGGGGTCAGTGACCTGAAGTAGGCCAATTATTGCTATCTTAAGTAACTAATGCAACTTTGAATACATTTTTTGTAGATTTGGTGTTTGAATATGACGAAAAGAGCACCAATTGGCATGCAGAGCGATCATATGACCACAGAGCACATGACCTTCGCCCATATGAACCCGTCTATGAGTGCCTTGTGCAAAACACATCATGAGCTCAAAACCGATAGTTAGATAGCTAGATAGATGGTTAATTTTGGTCGCCAATTTCGAATACTCCACTGAAAACATGTGATATGATTTTAATGCAAAATGAGGTAACTAGAGGTCACGGGAGGGCTGGCAAAGTACGATTAGGAATGTATTAGGCGTGTAAGCGAAATAATCATGGATTTGTCTGTTCTCTCTCTTAAGCTAGTTGACAAGGAATGAAGCCATCAGCTGTCTTATGCATGAAGCAGAGCATCCTGCCTGCCGTAACCGGTGTTCCATGGGTCATCATGACATGGCGTGTTTCGCTACCTGGCTGCAGCTAAAGCTACAAACAACTAGCTGCCAACTGAATTATTAAAACGCCATGGGTCCGAGTACCAAACAAGGAATACATAACATCAGCTCATTTTTACAGATGACGCCGTGCTTTGAGATCACACGCTGTACAAACGTGACACTGCGAGTGTGAATTGCGTAACTATTAGGCCATTAAAGACCAATGCCCTTTGTTGTCAGCTGCGGAGAGGCTATATGAGCAAACGCGACGTGTGCAGCCAATACCTTAGTGTGTTTGAGATGCTGACTGCGCATAATTTCTTGCACAGGTTGTTATTTCATGCACGGTCATGTTCTCCGCTTGTTACAAATACATTGTCGAGCGTTGAAGGGACTATGTATTATAAAAGCAAGAGCTTGAGTGCCTGTAGACATCAAACACGCTATTTCTGACCACAGAAAAGAAATGTACTGGTCGCATTGTGCATGCTTTTAAGCTTTTAAGCTTAGAAAGCTCTTAAGCTTTTTAGAGTAATGGCTTATATCTTTAACCAAAGCTGACCTCAGATAACCTCTAGGTCAGCCTAAACTGGTATTTTGTGTCTGGTATATCGCATTAGCTGCATCTACTAAAATCAGCTCAGTCAGACGCACATGTGAAAAAGCACCGCTCTTGTAGGCCACTGGTTTACCAATTTGAAATGGTGACCTAATCTGATATGACCCTCTTGAGTAAAGAAAAAAAATTGCCGGAATAATCTCTCAACAATCTTAACACAGAATTTCGTGGCCTCAAAATCAATCTCGACTTATTCATATAGGTTTTAACTATCTGTCACAACAGCCGTCTTGGTGTTTCGTTACATCTGGTGACGTCACATTTGATTTTGATACTAAATTTGGTGTGCGTTCTTCATCATTTCACGAGACCATCACAACTGTATCTTTATTTTTGACATACGGCGTCTGAAAGATGGAAATCCCAGGGAAAGTGACCTTCTCCGGTTGTCTCAGACTCCTGGTGTAGTGTGGGCTAATTCAAGATAATGCCATGTCGCCACTCAATATGTGTCACAGCTGAACCTTTGCATATGAAAAGTTTTTGGTTTGTTTCCCAAAACAAGTGGTTTCATATAAAAAAAACTCACTTTTATTTCGTCAGGTTATTGGCGAATGCTGCGTCACACACCAAGCGTTGTCAAGAACCCATGATCGGCAGAGAAGGTAGCCGCCTCCAGAGACAGGGAACTGAGGCAGATCTCTTAACCATCATTATTGATGGAGTTTGTCAGTTTTCGTAACCAGCATTTAGCAATGCTCACAAGCACACATTTTCACATAGATGGCTAAACGCGTCCTTATCAGTCCGACCAAGTTTGCCGCTCCTCCTCTCCCCCCCCCCCCCCCCCTGTTGCAACACAAAAACTTCCCCGCACGAAAAATTGACAGAGGACACCACACCATGGGAATCAGACTTCGCTCTGCTAAGGAATTTCGTCTGCTCCGCACGTTTACTCTGCCCGCGAGGCGGCTAATCTCGGAAACGCGTCCCGCCGTTAGAGGGAGGCGCCCGGTAACGAGGCGGTCCAGCCGTCCGCTGTCGTCCGACTCCGGATGGGCAGCGCCTCAGGCGATGGTGAGATGAGTATAAAACAGCGAGCGCCGAACGGTGACAGACACAGCTCAAGTCGCAGCTACCTCCTCAGCATCAACATGAAGCTCCTGGTGAGTGGGACTTGCGTCGGCCCGTTGATTTCACTGACAGGCGGATAAACTTGTTTGTGATACGCTCAGTCACAATTACTTTCGCTAGCACATAACTGGACTTAGCGCTTATCGCAATTATGCAGTTTTTGCGCGTTTTTTATCGGAGTACTATCCATGCTGTTTTACACCTCACATTACAGCGTATGGACCTGCCTCACTAGAGTGGAAAACAGCCAACTGACACTCGCTCCCTGTCCCAGGTTCTCCTGGCCGTGCTGGGCGCCGCTTCGGCCCAGTACCAGCTGTACACTGGCGCGTGGCCGTACACCGGGTACAACGCCCCGCTGGCGTACAACGCGTACCACGCGCCCATCACCACGTACGCCGCCCATCCCTTCGTCTACAATGGCCTGCCGTACTCGTTCAAGCCCGTCGAGAAGGAGGAGCCCGCTGTTGAGGTCAGTGATGACTGAGTCTGTGACTCTGACGCTGGCAATGTCAGTATTGATGATGCACGTGTTGTCAGGCCCTTGTGTGGGGTAATTCGGGGTCTGACATTCGAAGTCAGACTTCTCCGCGCTGTAGGCCTTCACGAGATAGGAATGAAATTCACGAAACGGTTGTGTTTTTGAATCAGCAAAAGGCGATTTTTGCTACAGTTTGGAAGACGAGCCAGTCAAATTTCAAGATATTATTTTGGGCGTATGTTGCCGCAATTCAGCGTTAACGATCTCGTCAAGCATAGTGGGTTTGCACCGGTCGTTTGGAGGTAATGATTTGTGAATTGACGCTTCCGTAGTTATCTGGTTATACGCGAATGCATTTTCAAAACATCCGTTCCGCTGGCCGTTCACAACAAAGTAATTCAAAATCCTAGTACAGACTGAAAGCCTTTACCTTTGTCGCAAAACGTATATGCCCTGAGAGACTTCATGTACCTTGATGTCGATGTACCACACCTTTTCGTTTTCCAGTCCCGCTCCAAGCGTTCGGCCGATGAGGACCAGAAGGCTGATGACGCCACCCTGATCTCCACCTACGCCGCCCACCCCTTCGGCTACACGGCCGGGTACCCGTACGTCTACAACACGTACCCGACCGTGTACAACAGCGCTTACAACTACCCCACCACGTACGCCTACAATGGCTACAACGCCTACCACTCCTACACCCCGTTCGTGCACTCGCTGAAGAAGCGCGATACCGCTGAGGCGGACCAGAAGGCTGACGACGCCACCCTGATCTCCACCTACGCTGCCCACCCCATCGGCTACCCGTACGCCAACGCCGCCTACGCCACACCCTATGCGTTCCGCAGCGTGTACAACACCCCGGCCAGCACCCACCCCATCACCTACAACGCCTTCCCCTACGGCTACCGCTCCTATGTCTACTAGATAATGACGATGCCGAGGAGGTAATGCGACATGAGCTGTACTCTTGTTTGTCATTGCACTGAGCTTGGACACTTGTGCCTGCCATTGCAATGAACTCGGGAACTTGTGCCCGCCTGTGCCCTGAGGAACTGCTTGTCTGCGGGCCTGTCTACGTACAAGACGTGGAGACTTGTGCCTGCTCTTGCAATGGACGTGGAAACTTGTGCCTGTTTTTGGTCTGACCAATTGTACTCAATGTCTGCGACAAGTACACGCCGGAATTGAAACTCGCTTTCATTGATTACATTGCAGCTGGAGGTAGAGGCATGAAACTATGTCTGGTTGTGGTTGTAACATGTGAAGTGCATTTCATTTTTTTTTTTGTCTGCTTATCGCGGTCAATAAATGTTAAAATCACCATCCCTCTCTTGTCATTTGCCGCGGTCACGTGACAAGTGTAGGGTGGCTGCCAAACGGAACGCTGCAACGAGACTTTAAAGGAAGAATGCCTTGTATGGACAGCTCTGACAGCACTCCAACCATTTGAACCACTTAAAATGTGAAATGCAATTTCGCTACCAAAATGATACACTTGCCTTAACGTTGCCACGGGCTCAGACTGAGGGTGCGTGAGCGCGTGCAGCCGTTCCACATTGGTGTATCACGGAATGTGCGAACTCGATATTGACAAAAATCCCCGTAAGGCGTGTGAAGACCTGGTTTGTGGTTCGGCAATGGTGGTCACAGAACCAAGTGCATAAGGTCTCGGAAAAGGATAGGTAATCGCACCGATAAAAGAACAAAAAAGTATGCGCCGAGCCTCGCACGCCCGGCTCGCGCGCACACAGAAGATTCGACGGTTTTTGGCCTATTTCGGAATTGATTTAGATCTTGACGATACGAACACATAAAGCCACCAAATAGCTGTAACGCGTTGACCGTTGAAATAGCTGCAACGCTGACGACGCGTTGAAATAGCTGCAACGTCATCTATCGTCTAATCATCACCCCGCCACCACAACAACGTCCAACCAATCATGATTCCAGCAATCCGCTGAAAAACGAAAGGATTCCCTTTTCCGAGCACAACCTCGATTATATGACTATGCTGTGTTAACTGCGACAGCTGGGGAATGAAAACAGACGCAGACGTAAAAGTCAGTTCACGATAATCCGTATCCCACGTAAGAAAATGTGCGCACTTTACGACATTTATGGCGCACACGTCAACATTTCCTGTCACTGTAAATTCACAAATATGTGGAAGCAAAATATTGCTCGCGTTTCAAACCCTGTTCCCCACGCTACTCCCATGGGTAGAGCCACTGCGGCATGGAAGGGCAGCGAATACGTCGCCTTGTTCTAAAGTCTGCCCGTACAAAACGCATTTTTCAGCTTTTCCGATGAAACATCAAGGTAGACTACCGGAAGCCCGATTTGTCCCCCAGTTCCAGAGATGTCACTACATTCATGCTCTGGGTTACTCGTACCCATGCATTACCCACCGGTAGGAATAATTCAGTCCACGTACAGGTGACTTGCAATATCGTAGGCCTGATCATAAAATACGACCTAACCTGGGTAGTAACATAGCATAGGATGCTGCACTTATGTCAAAGCATCGAGCATCGACTTAAGTCTCCTGCTTAACCCGTCTCGCCTTTTCGCCTCAGGAAGCTGCGTAGAACATGGTTGCATTCTGTTTGCTGGGGATTTCATTTAGTAGTAGATTTCCTTTGGTGTTAGGCAGTGTTTTAGGTGGCCGGCGGCGGTCAGACATTTTCTGCAGTGCCAGGTGGCCGGTGGCGGTCGGCCATTTTGTCCTAGCACGCGAGCGGCTCACACGGACGTTCAGATGTCCCTACCGAGGAGATTGAGATGCTAGCCAGGGAAGTAAAGGATTGGAAGTGTGTGTTCAATGAGTTTTTCTAACACTGTTCATCAGACATGTGAAGATTATGGTTGCATGCACATAGTCATATAATCAAGATTGTGCTTGGAAAAAGTGAAGCCTCTGGTTTCTCGGCGGACTGCTGGCATTATGATTGGTTTGACGTTGTCGGGGTGATTTTTAGCCAATAGATGACGGTCGAAGCGTTGCAGCTATTTCACGTCTTTACGTGTTCGTGTCGTCAACATCCTAAATCAATTCTAAAATCGGTCCAAAGCCGTCGAATCTTCCGCGTGCGCACGAGCGGGCGTGCGAGGCTCGGCGCATACCTTTTTGTTCTTTTATCGGTGCGGGTACCTATTATTTTCCGAGACCTTATGCACGTTTTTCTGTGACCACCATCACCAGACTACAAACCAGGTTGTCACACGCTTTACAGGGATTTTTGTCAATATCGAGTTCGCACATTCCGTGATACACCGATGTCAAACGGTTGCACGCGCTCACGCGCCCCCAGTCTGACCTCGTGGCAACCTTAATGTAAATGTATCATCCTGGTGGCCAAGCCACATATCACATTTTAAGTGGATTAAGTGGTTGGAGTGCTGCTAGAGCTGTCCATACAAGACAACCTTCCTTTAAAGTCTCGTCGCAGCATCCTGTTTGGCAGTCATCTTACACATGCAACGAATGCTGTAAATGTTGTTGTTACACGTAAACTAACTATTGCAGCAAATGAGCTGAAAAGGATAGTGATTTTGATCTTTATTGACAACGATAAACACACAAGACAAATGAAATGCATTTCTCATGTTACAACCACAACTAGACATAGCTTCATGCCTCTACCTCCAGTTGCAATGTAACCAATGAAACCGAGTTTCAATTCGAGCGCGTGCTTATCGCAGACATCGAGTACAATTTGTCAGAGCACAAACAGGCACAAGTTTCCACGTCCATTGCAAGAGCAGGCACAAGTCTCCACGTCCTGTACGAAGACAGGCCCACAGACAAGCAGTTTTTCAGAGTACAGGCGGGCACAAGTTCCCGAGGTCATTGCGATAGCAGGCACAAGTGTCCAAGTTCAGTACAATGACAAACAAAAGTACAGCTCATGTCGCCTTACCCCGGCATCGTCATCATCTAGTACACATAGGAGCGGTAGCCGTAGGGGAAGGCGTTGTAGGTGATGGGGTGGGTGCTGGCCGGGGTGTTGTACACGCTGCGGAAAGCATAGGGCGTGGAGTAGCCGGCGTGAGCGTATGGGTAGCCGAAGGGGTGGGCAGCGTAGGTGGAGATCAGGGTGGCGTCGTCAGCCTTCTGGTCCGCCTCAGCGGTATCGCGCTTCTTCAGCGAGTGCACGAACGGGGTGTAGCCGTTGTAGGCGCTGAAGCCGTTGTAAGCGTAGGCGGTAGGGAAGTTGTAAGCGCTGTTGTACACGGTCGGGTACGCGTTGTAAGCGTACGGGTAGCCGGCCGTGTAGCCGAAGGGGTGGGTGGCATAGGTGGAGTACAGGGTGGCGTCGTCAGCCTTCTGGTCCTCATCCGCCGAACGCTTGGAGCGAGACTAGAAGGGGAAGAAAAGTGTTATCTCTGTACTTGAAGATCACGTCAAGGCACATCAGTATCATTTTCGCGACAAAGCTGAAAGCTTTCAGTCTGTACTAGGATTTTGCATGGGATTGTTGTAAACGGCCAGCGGAATGAAAGTATTTAAAAGGCATACGCGTGCAACCAGATAACTACGCAACCGTTGTTAATTCACAGGTCGCGCTAACATCGTGTTAACTCACGCTAACATCGCGTTAATTCCTTTGGTGCCTCGTGACGGTCTACAGCGCGGCGAAGTCTGACCTCGAATGTCAGACCTCGAACTACCCCACACGAGGGCCTGACAACACGTGCATCATCAATGCTGACACTGCCAGCGTCAGAGTCACAGGCTCCGTCATCACTGACCTCGACAGCGGGCTCCTCCTTCTCGACGGGCTTGAACGAGTACGGCAGGCCATTGTAGACGAAGGGATGGGCGGCGTACGTGGTGATGGGCGCGTGGTACGCGTTGTACGCCAGCGGGGCGTTGTACCCGGTGTAAGGCCACGCGCCAGTGTACAGCTGGTACTGGGCCGAAGCAGCGCCCAGCACGGCCAGGAGAACCTGGGACAGGGAGCGAGTGTCAGTTGGCTGTTTTCCTGCTCTAGTGAAGCAGGACCATGTGCTCTGATGTGAAGCGTAAAACAACATGGAGGATAATCCGATAAAAAAAGCGCGCAAAAACTGCATAATTTTGATAAACATTGAGCCCAGGTATGCGCAGGCGACGTTCATTTTAAATGAGCGTATCACAAGCAGAAGACCATCCGCCTGCTAGTGAAATCGACAGGCCAACACAAGTCCCACTCACCAGGAGCTTCATGTTGGTGCTGAGGAGGTAGCTGCGACTTGAGCTGTGTCTGTCGCCGTTCGCCGTCCGCTTTTTATACTCATCTCACCATCACCCGAGGCTCTGCCCATCCGGAGTCGGACGACAGCGGACGGCTGGACCGTCTCGTTACCGGGCGCCTCCCTCGGAACGGCGGGATGCGTTTCCGAGATTAGCCGCCTCGTGGGCAGAGCTGGACGTCTGGATCGGACGGAATTTCTTAGCAGTGTGACGGCTGGATGTCAAGAGCCGCCAATTTGTCGTCACCGTCTTTGCTTGCGTGCGTGCGTTAAGACCTGGTATACTTTGACAGATTGTCATGTGGGGTGGGCTATGTATTGTGACCTGGAACCAACATTGCTGGGACTCATAAGAGGACGTGCTACCAATCAACGTGGAGATAAAGGGAAGTCAGCCATGTCATACCATTCTTCCGAAAGGTAGCAGACACCACGACGACCTGAAGACCACGGCCACGGGAGGCAGTGACATACTCCACATCCTCGTGGGCCTCAAATGATCCGTTAGGTATCATTAACCAAAAACCATATTAAAGAGGCCTCAGACAGTCCTGTGAAACTATGTAATCTTTCCAGAACAAAGCTGATGGGCTCATGTCGAATAAAAGGACACAGCTGTGACCGATACCGTGCACTGAGATGGCATTACCGTGAATTAATCTAAATCACCCATCCGGTCCAATACGGCTCAGTCCGGTAAGCATGCCTTTGACGGGCATGTGAGAACCACTGATGGTTTTTGCCGTGCAGTGTTCAGCAAAAGGAGGTGCCGATTTATAACACATTCGGAATGACATGTCACAGGCATTGGCATCCCAGCTGTATGGATATTCCTTGCTTGATTCGGACAGTGTAACGTCACAAAAGTTACCCTATTTTATTTGATTAGCAATTCTAGCCTAAAATGTCACATTGTGAAGGCTGAAGAACGCGCCCTGACAACAGACCGTAGTACTTACAATGGGAGACCAATCATGTCGCAACACCCTGATTGAAGAAGGTACAATTCTTGTAGGATAGAAAGTTTCGGACTTCTTCTTGGCGCTTAAAGTGATATTCAACGTGATAATATGTCCCTCAGGTCACAACATGGGATTATGTATTCCGGAAACCTTACCCTACGGCGCGATCCAGCAATTGTGGCTGGGCTGATGACTGCCAGGCCATCGTACATTTTCCCTAAGTCACGAAGGACGCTAGTCATTCATCTTCCATCCAGCAAGGGATGCATCAACACTTACCTCATAACTCTTCATTCGTGAGTTGATAAGGACAAGGCGTGCATGGCGAGACCATTGTGTTGGGCTGCAAATCAGTGTGTATCAGCCAGCATTTCCAGTCTTTCAATAATCCGGAACGTGTCGACACACAATCTCGCGACCTGTGCCTGTTTCCTGCCTCAAGGCCTATGCCTACGCTCGCCTGTAGCGTTGCTGTCGTTCCGAATTGCTTGACCTGGGGCTGCTCGCGTGTGAGGACGTGCGACCGGTGTGGACATGTTGATATGCGGGCATCTAGATCAATAAAGTGAGTTTATGAGATTACAGTAGGATGTGTTTATTTATGCCTTAATACATGCGATCGGTGTCTTTAAAACTAGTACACTGCCGGTGTGGTGACACCTTCGGTGTTATGGTGTGATATTGTACAGCGGGTATTTGGCCGCTGATCGGTACAGTCAAATCAATTAATGAACAAAATCAAACATGAACGAACAAACAATGAAAATATATCAAACAACTTAGGAATGAACCACGAAATTCCTAACTACAGAACAACTAAAACACAGGCCTTGAACTTCGTTGTTAACAAGTCCAGCATATATGGTTACACCCATGGAGGTAGCTTAAAGAACAGGTGTGAAAATGCAAGCGATAAATTGCACCAACGAAAATGACAATCTTTGCAGTGAGGAGCGAGTTGTTTTATTACGACCTAAACACTGTGATATGGACACAAATATTTGGTGGGTAATGATCACAGTGGTCTGTGTTCTAGGTCTGTGCCACGTCTGTTTACGTCTGCCTATTACGTGTTTTATGTCTGTTTACGTTCCCAACTTTCATAGCTCAGGTGTCGCGTCAGCGTGATTTGTTCGAGATTGTGTTCGGAACGACTGTAGTTTCTCGGTGAACTTTAGGTGTCACGATGGCTCTGACGGTGTTGGGCTGGCTGGGTGGTCTGTAGACGGCAGATGCAGGTCAACGCTATGAAACGTCGTCGTGTGTTTGCGACGTCCAAATCTTACATCAAGTCCAATTTCTCGGTCAAGAGCCGTAATGCAGCTTAACCTGTACGATCGCTCGCACTTTTCACAGTCGTCGTGCTAAGATCCCATGTCGCTGCGACCGCCCCTTGGCGAACTTCAAGCCGGGTGTTCACACGCGTTTCAAGAATGTTTCTATTTGCCAATTTTGCGCTCTCAGTGTGACATCAATGCAGTGCGTTTGCGCGCGCTGGCGCGCCCCGCAAGACGGATCTTGTCATACCACGCTGGACCACACTGGACATTTGGCAGCCGTCTTACATGTGTCACACTATCGCAGCAAGTGAGCAGAGAAGGAGGGTGATTTTGATTTTTTTATTGACAAGTATGACCAGGCCAGAACAATGAAATGCATTTCACATGTTACAATCACAGCTGTGCGCAGGTTCACACCGCTACGTCCAGTTGCAATGTAATCAATGAAAGTGAGTCCCAAGTCAAGTGTGTGGTTGTCGCAGACATTGAGCACAATTGGTCAGAGCACAAACAGGCGCAAGTTTCCACGCTCATTGCAAGAGCAGGCACAAGTCTCCACGTCTTGTACGAAGACAGGCCTAGAGATAAGCAGTTATGTACAGCACAGGCGGGCACAAGTCGCCGAGTTCATTGCAATGGCAGGCACAAGTGTCCAAGTTCAGTGCAATGACAAACAAAAGTACAGCTCATGTCGCATTACCTCCTCGGCATCGTCGTCGTCTAGTACACATACGAGCGGTAGCCGTAAGGGGAAGGCGTTGTAGGTGATGGGGTGGGTGCTGGCCGGGATGTTGTACACGCTGCGGAAAGCATATGGCGTGGCGTAGCCGGCGTTGGCGTACCGGTAGCCGAAGGGGTGGGCAGCGTAGGTGGAGATCAGGGTGGCGTCATCAGCCTTCTGGTCCGCCTCGGCGGTATCTCGCTTCTTCAGCGAGTGCACGAACGGGGTGTAGGCGTGGTAGGCGTTGTAGCCGTTGTAGGCGTACGTGGTGGGGTAGTTGTAAGCGCTGTTGTACACGGTGGGGTACGTGTTGTAGGCGTACGGGTAGCCGGCCGTGTAGCCGAAGGGGTGGGCGGCGTAGGTGGAGATAAGGGAGGCATCGTCAGCCTTCTGGTCCTCATCGGCCGAACGCTTGGACCGGGACTGGAAAAAGCAGAGATGTGTTAGCTGTGTGCGTGGAGATGACACCAAGGAGCATCGATATCATTTTCGCGACAAAGGTGAAGGCTTTCAGTTTTAACTAGGATTTTGAATTGCATTGCTGTAAACGGCTAGCGGAACGGAAGTTTTGAAAATGCATTGGCGTGCAACCCGATGACTACGGAAGTGTTGTTAATTCACGGATTATTTCCTCCAAACGACCGGTGCAAAGCAACCATTCTTGACGAGATTGTTGACGTTGAATTGCGGCAAAATAGGCCCAAGATAATAGCTTGAAATTGGACTGACATGTCTTTGAAAATGCCGCAAAAAAATCGCTCTTTTCTGAGTCCAAAACACAATCGTCTCGTTCATTTCATTCCTGTCTCGTGAAGGTATACAGCGCCACGATGTCTGAACACGAAGGTGACCACGCGGCAGTTTGGGATGGCGTGCATGATCAATACTGAGACAGCCCCTGTCAGAGTCACAGACTCCGTCATCACTGACCTCAACGGCGGGCTCCTCCTTCTCGACCGGCTTGAACGAGTACGGCAGGCCATTGTAGACGAAGGGATGGGCGGCGTACGTGGTGATGGGCGCGTGGTACGCGTTGTACGCCAGCGGGGCGTTGTACCCGGTGTACGGCCACGCGCCAGTGTACAGCTGGTACTGGGCCGAAGCGGCGCCCAGCACGGCCAGGAGAACCTGGGACAGGGAGCGAGTGTCAGTTGGCTGATATTTGTTCTAGTGAGGCAGGTCCATACGTTATTATGTGAGGCGTAAAGCAACGTAGATGTTGGTACAGTAGTAAAGGCGTGCAAACAGCTGCATTAGCGCGATAGGCGCTGAGCACAGACATGCGTAGGCGAGGTTAATTGTGACTGAGCGCACCACAAACAGAAGCTTATCTGTCTGTCAGTGAAATCAACGGGCCGACACAAGTCCCACTCACCAGGAGCTTCATGTTGGTGCTGAGGAGGTAGCTGCGACTTGAGCTGTGTCTGTCACCGTTCGCCGCCCGCTGTTTTATACTCATCTCGCCATCGCCCTGAGGCGCTGCCCATCCGGAGTCGGAGGACAGCGGACGGCTGGACCGCCTCGTTACCGGGCGCCTCCCTCTAACGGTGGGATGCGTTTCCGAGATTAGCCGGCCTCGTGGGCAGAGCTGGACGTCTGGATCGGACAGGAATTCCTGAGCAGTGCGAGGTCTGGTGGTTAAATGCCGCCAGTTTGTTTTCACCACCTTTGCTAGCATGCATGTGTTACGGCCTGGAATACGTTGGCTGATGTGGCATGTGGGGTAGGACTGTGTTGTGGTCGGGAGCCAACATTGTTGGGGACGCGTTACCAATCAGCATGAACATATAGGGAAGTCATCCCTGTTGTACCATTCCTGCGAAACGTAGCAGACACCACGAAGACCTCAAACCCGCCGCTACGGGACGCGGTCGCCTACTGTAAGGAGCACATCCTCGCAAAACACGAATGGTTCGCTAGGTATCATGTGCGGAAAATTATATCAAAGAAGGTCGAGATAGTTCTATAAAACCTACGTATTCATCTTAAAACAAAACTGATGGATTCATGTCATAAAATGATGCAGCTGCGACCCACACCGTTTGCCGAGATCTGTAGGGTATGGTTCAGATAAGGACATACACATTTCAAAGATCACACAACTCAACAAAACTAACAATGTCGACCTTCGGTATGTCCAAATCAAGAAACGAACTGTTGAACTGTATGCAAAGGGCAACAAAGAGGGCTAGGATCGGCCATAGCCTGTCTGTGTTGCATTGGTGGAAAGACAGGTCATTTCATTGCTCAAACGGAGGAAATTACGCAAATCTGAACGTGGAAATTCTGGTACCTTCGGTTCGTGAAGGCATTTAACGGTCGTAAAGTTTAGCTGCATCTGAAAATGATTGCTTGATGTTGCTGTTGTTTTTTTTTGTTGTTGGTTTCCTCAGTGTGACAAAAAAATGAAACAGCCGGTATTCGTTTTTCTCAAACAGTTCTGTGACCTCATCTTTCTGTAGTCCCGATGCATCGTTCTTCTAGCACGCCTCCACTACCTCTTCCCCAGTACTTGCGAAGTCGCCTTCGCCTTAATCTGAGCCCATCACGGAACCCAACATATTGTTCCTTTCTCTCCAGGCAGTCTAGACACCCAGTTCAAACCTGTATGTACGGATTGCTGTGGCGCATTGAAGGCGCTCACCACGCAACACATGTCGCGCCAGGCTCGGAGCATACCAAGGTATGATGGCTAGTATGATGGTTGTGGATGGGGTGCGGCTCGAAGCGCACACGTGGTTTTCATAAAGGGCAAACATGCGGGCTTCGAGAAGGTGCGCATGCTTGCCACCATGCTCCAGCGCTATCTGCCAACGGTTGAAACTTTGTCATGTACTCATTTCCCTGGCTGTGGAGGTCCTTCGCCGTTCTTTTCGCGGTCGAGGACACAAATCCACCCACAGATCAAACTTACACTGAACTGCCCCATTGCGTCGGGCCGGTGTGTCTACATTCCTCGCAGCAACAGTTATCTTAGTATAAGATGAATGGCACCGTGTAAATGAACGTTTCGGGTATGTGCATGATATTGCAAGTTGCAGTGATAAAAAGCGACGCCTGGTAATAACCCCGTTCCTGAATATGCTGGTGGGCATGTACGCCATTGCCATTTCTTGTCACACACACACACACACACACACACACACACACACACACACACACACACACACACACACACATATATATATATATATATATATATATATATATATATATATATAGTCCTACCAGGCAAAGGCTATGAGTAGGCCCTACTCAGAAAATGTGCGTAGGCTGGTGTGTGAGCTTTGGGGTAAAAATCAAACTTGGAGGGGTCTGCTCAGAGTTTTGGGTGACAATCTGAGTCAAGTACGATGTTTTCAATAAAAAACAAGACTACAAATGTGTGTTGTACGGACAAATATTGTACAAGCACCGTGCTCTCTTGTACTTCCCAACCGCATGGGTCACACCCATGAGGACAGGTTGAGGAACAATGTGTAAAGGCAAGCGATAATTTGCACCAACGAAAATGGCAATCTTTGCAGTTGTTTCATGGTGACGGAAGACTGTGATAAGGACGCATATTTTTGGTGGATATTGATCGCAGTGGGCTGTGCTGTAAAACTGTGCTACATCTGTTTACGTCTCTATTACGTGTTTTATGTCTGTTTACGGCCCCAACATGCATAGCTCAAGTGATGCGCCAGCATGATGCATTCGGTGCGCCAGCGTGATGTATTCGATGCGCCAGCATGATGTATTCGGTGCGCCAGCATGATGTATTCGGTGCGCCAGCATGGTGTATTCGGTGCGCCAGCATGATGCATTCGGTGCGCCAGCATGATGTATTCGGTGCGCCAGCATGATGTATATTGTGTCCGGAATGTCTGTAGTTCCTCGGCAAACTGTAGGTGTCACCATGGCTCTGATGGGGTTTGACTGCCTGGGTAATCTGTAGATGATGGATGCAGGTCTACGCTTTACAGTTATTTCACGTCATCACGTGCATGCGTCGTCCAGATCTTACATCAAGTCTAATTTCTCGGTCAAGAGCCGCCGTGAACGTTCGCCTGTACGATTGCCCGATCTCTTCCCAGTCGTTGTGCTTTGATCAAATTTCGCTGTGACCGCCGCTTAATGAATTACAGGTGGGGTGTTCTCACGCGTTTCAGTAATGTCTCTACATGCAAATTTTTCGCTCTCAGTGTGACACCAATGTGGCGCGTTTGCGCGCGCTGGCGCGCTCCCAAGTCGGATCTCGAACCAACTGTGATGCACTGGCATCGTGTTGGTCTATCCCCACGCCACATTGCACCTGCTGTCAGGGCTGACCATACACTTGCATGTGTCACACTCTCACGGTAAATGAGGTGAGAAGAAGGGTGATGTTAATTTTTTATTGACAAGTATGACCAGGCCAGAACAATGAAATGCGTTTCACATGTTACAATCACAGCTGTGCGCAGGTTCACACCGCTACGTCCAGTTGCAATGTAATCAGTGAAAGTGAGTTTCAGTTCAAGCGTGTGCTTGTCGTAGACATTGAGCACAGTTTGTCAGAGCACAAACAAACACAAGTTTCCAAGTGCATTGCAAGAGAAGGCACAAGTCTCCACGTCCTGTACGAAGACAGGCCCACAGACAAGCAGTTCCTCAGAGCACAGGTGGGCACAAGTTGCCGAGTTCATCGCAACGACAGGCACAAATGTCCAAGTTCAGTGCAATGACAAACAAAAGTACAGCTCATGTCGCCTTACCTCCTCGGCATCGTCATCATCTAGTACACATACGAGCGGTAGCCGTAGGGGAAGGCGCTGTAGGTGATGGGGTGGGTGCTGGCCGGGGTGTTGTACACGCTGCGGAAAGCGTACGGCGTGGCGTAGCCGGCGCGAGCGTACGGGTAGCCGAAGGGGTGGGCAGCGTAGGTGGAGATCAGAGTGGCGTCGTCAGCCTTCTGGTCCGCCTCAGCGGTATCGCGCTTCTTCAGCGAGTGCACGAACGGGGTGTAGGCGTGGTACGCGTTGTACCCGTTGTAGGCGTACGTGGTGGGGTAGTTGTAAGCACTGTTGTACACGGTCGGGTACGTGTTGTAGGCGTACGGGTACCCGGCCGTGTAGCCGAAGGGGTGGGCGGCGTAGGTGGAGATCAGGGTGGCATCGTCGGCCTTCTGGTCCTCATCCGCCGAACGCTTGGACCGGGACTGGAAAAGCAGTGATGTGATAGCTGTGTGCGTGGGGATGACACCAAGGGGCACAAATATCCTCGAAGGTTATTATTTTTGCGATACGAAGCGAACCTTTCCGCCCTGACAATTGCTTTTAAACGCATGGTGGTAAATGAACACCGAAACGAATACCATAGCCTTTCACGAGCAACCAGATAAATGCACAAGCATAGTTCAATCTCAGATTGTCTTTAGTTGTGGAGTGCAGCAAAATTGTTTTTGAGGAGATGGTGACAACCAATTGCTACGAAACAGCTCTCAAAGAACGACTTAAAACTTTTTCTTTCTGTATCAAGAACATCCCCGCGAGATAGTGTCTCAATGGAGCCTCTGTTTGACGCACAGTGTGTCAAAATCTGACCTCTCAAGTGACCATACGAGAGTCTGACGTCGCCTTTATCAGCGATGCTGACACCACCCGTGTCAGAGTCACAGGCTCTGTAACTGACCTCAACAACGGGTTCCTCCTTCTCGACCGGCTTGAACGAATACGGCAGGCCATTATAGACGAAGGGATGGGCGGCGTACGTGGTGATGGGCGCGTGGTACGCGTTGTACGCCAGCGGGGCGTTGTACCCGGTGTACGGCCAAGCACCAGTGTACAGCTGGTACTGGGCCGAAGCGGCGCCCAGCACGGCCAGGAGAACCTGGGACAGGGAGCGAGTGTCAGTT